GTTGTTGGTAGCCGAGTTCTGACTATTACCACTTGTACTATTGAGGGTGACATTGTTGTGACATTGGATATCAGTGTGTGCCATGGTGCGATTTAGCACGTTGTGGGTGCTAATACTATTGACCGTGGGGAGTGTGGGCTTATTTAAGCTGCCACTGTTTTTGTTGGTATGATTTAGGGGCATATTTTCCTTATCTTTAGCAATGAAGTTATGGCTAGGAGAGGACAATGTCGAATTTCGGGGGTTTTGACTTTTTTTCTGGGGTTATTTAGTGGCATTTTAGATTCTGCGGTGATAGGTGGTATGGTTTTGTTATTTATTTGGTTACAGTCTAGTGGCCTTTCGGCTGGTGTTGCACTCTGATGGGTGTGTGTTTTGAGAGGGGTGATGCGGTGGGGTCTACTGTATCTTTCACAGGGTTGGGAATAATGGCTGCTTGCAATGTCCTATTACCTATTTCACAATTAGTCTTAGCGAGATAGTTGTATGCGCGCCTTTCTATGACTGTTTTGTCCACCCCGACCTTTATATGTTTGTAGTTTCTGGCTTGCGATAGGGTGTGTTGGGAGTGGTTGAATTTTCTGGTCTCTGCCGGTGTTTCGAACTGAAAACGAATAGGAAAACACTTTTCGTGTTGACTCTTCTTCAGCCTATAGCACTTAGTCTTGGAGTTAGGCATCTTCGCCTCACTAAGTAAGATGCGCTGTACCTTTTTTAGTGGCTCATTGTCCGGAACGTTGTAGACAATAGCACTCAGTTTTGCGTCGAGTCGTTTTGTTACTTCTGTGGTAACAAAGTTAATGAGGTTATCTACCTTAGTTACTGATTCTGTGTCAAGTTTGCTAAGGTTTACAGTTTTCATGAGGATAGTTAGAGGTGTCAGTTCACAGACCTGCGATCTGATATCGCTGATCTGATCAGATAATTTGGATATCTCGGTATTGGTTTCAATGTTTCCAGCATTTACTGACTTATTGTTTTTTATTTCCCTTAACTCAGCCTTAAGTTCTCCTAAAGACAACTTTAGAAGTTCTATTTCTGAAGATAGTACTGAAAAAGAGCTTGATGGCTGGAGTTTTTCGATAAGCACATAGGGTGAAGGGAGGAGTTCTGTATGACCGACGCATACCTGATATCTATGGTCGGCCTGCAAAATTTAGGCTGCCGATATCACATGCTGAAAATTCCATACTTGTAACAAGAATACAGTGTGGAATCAAGCTGTAATCAAAAATCAAAGAAATTCGATAAGCGAGAAAGCCATTAAATGACTAGCAGTACAGTTGACCAGCACTCACCATATCCGTATTCACAACAAAACAAAGGGGGAGGACAGATTTTAGAACGTGTATGTTGCTTTGAAATGCACTTTCGAAGTGAAACGTGTTAATGAATCCTAAAGCTGAGGAACAAATCATAAGAGGAATTATATTAACAATGCTTCCCAGATAAGTGAAGGAAGTGACCTCTGTTAAATTTCTCCCTTTGATGGTAACTGGTGCTGGTTGTTGTTGGGGTTCGTTGGTTATCTCCATCAGTTCCTTCTTCCCTATGTTCGCTTGGAGTTCTATCTTCGCTGCTTCTTCAGCCAGTTTACTGATTTTCTGCCTGGAAGTCTTCGAGTTTGTGTAACATTAGACATGTATCATCTGCGAAATCCAGGTCTTCTAGGGTCTTCCTATTCGCGGTCCAGCTTACTCCTGTCTATTTGCTCCTAAACACAGTCTGACGTACAATCCAGTCCACTACAATTAGGAAGGTCATTGGTGATAATAAATATCCCTGCCTCACTCCAGTCTCCACTTCGAACGCCTCACTGAGTCTCCAATTGTGGATCGCCTGACACGTAGCATTGTCGCATAGCCATAAAATGAGGTTGACAAAGACTTGGGGTGCGGCGTAGTAATGAAGTAGTTTTCAAATTCCTCTTCAGTCAACTCTGTCAGTCGATGACCATTTCTAAGTCGATGAAGCTGAAGTAGAGTGATTTTTGAGCTCCATTCTGTGCTTTGTTCAGTGACGATGTGTAGAGTTGCCATTTGGTCAGTACATGATTTGCCTTTCCTGAATCCAGTTTGCTCGGGCGGATTTCTGCATCCAGTAAATCCTTTATTCTCTTCAGGATGATGCGACATTGTATTTTACTTGATGTGGACAAGAACATGATTCCACTCCAGTTCTTACGCAGGCCTAGGTCGTCCTTCCTTGGTAGCTTGGCAAGGTATAAACTTTCCTTCCAATCGGCAGTCACTTTTCCTTCCTTTCAAACCTTTTGTAATGGTGGCGCAGGCGGATCCGCCGCAGTCTCTGGGTCGGCGCTCTGGGGTGAGGGGACTCCGCCTGGCCCTGCTGTCTTTCCGACCGTCGTTTAGTAGCTTTATCGCACTCAGGATTTCTGCTTCCGTTGTAAGATTGGTGTCCACTGGCAGATAGTTCTGTAAGTGCTGTAAGTTATGCTATTGCTGAGCGAGTTTCAGGTGATAGTTGATTTAAAAGTCCGCCAAAGTGATAGGCCCGTTTTTTGTTCGTTTTTCTCCTTGGTAACCTGGTTCCCTTGAGCATCTTTTATCGGTTTCATCATCTGGATTGCTTTCTTCTCTGATACAGACCTGAGTATATGACATGCCTTGAGATCTCTTTTGCCTACGACTTGTTCTTCTTCAATTACCAGTGTGTCGTAATATTATCTTCTGTCCTTTCTAGCACTCTTCTTCACTTCTCTCTATCCAGTTCAGTGTACTCAGCCTCTCCTTCTGTTGCCTATCTTTGCATCGAGTCATCTCATTCATCATCATCCTCTTTTCTCCTCGGTTAGCCCTAGGTAGGTGTCCACTGAGAGCCATTCGTTGTCTTGCCTCTTCTTCCTCCCTAGAAAAGTTGTACACGTTTCATTAAATATCGTTTTCAAAGAGCTCCAATGTTCTTCCACAGAAGTTTCCTCAGTGATGCCACACTCTGAGTCTGACTTAGCTCAATTCGAATCTGTAGCGATGGTGTTCCTTGTAGTTTTGTCCTCCAGTTTCTGACTCTTGAACTTGTATTGTGGCCTGTCTTCAACTGTTTTCATGGATTTCAGCTTCACCTTGAAGTTTCTTTGATCTAGATGATGGTCTGAATCCACTTCTGCTCTCCTTCTCAACTTTGCGTTCAGCAGGCTGTCTCCACTTCTTTGAGATTGAGATGAAATCTATCTGGTAAAATCCATGTTACTTTGCGTATGTTCTTGTGCTTGCACTCGTTTCCTCTAATCACCGAATCATTGAAAGCGCAGAATTCTGCCAATAATTCTCCGTTCTCATTCATCTTGCTGAGTCAGTGCCTGTCCACCCATGATGAGTACTCTTCCTCTATAATCTGCTGCCAGTTTGGCGTTCATATCGCCCATGAGTATTTCGATGTCACCATTTGGGATTTTAGAGGCTGACGGTATCGACGTTCGTGAACTGTATGGAGTATACTAACGCAAGATCTGGTACCAACAAATTCAACGGTATTCGTTCCTCGTAGGCCAAAGGCAAGGCAAAAGACTTTACTTGATCGTCCAAATTACGAGATACATTTCGTGACCAAATTGCAGTGCGAGATGATTGCTTAACTGGGTAGTGATCGTGCATGAACGTGGCACGACGGAGTACCAAATGGCATGGATGGCTGACCAGAAGCCCTCTGCTAAACAAGTCGACTTAAACAGTGCGGGGCAGCACCCAGTGTTCAGTGATGATTGCTGCGGTCAATAATTTTGGGGAATTATTTACCACTACAGGATGTTGTCCACCACTATTTGTGTTCCTTTGTGAAAATTTTCCTTCTCTTGTGACTCATTCCTTGTACCACTGGGAGTAGCATTCCATAATTGTGACCTTCCTTCCTTCCTTCTAAGTTCAATCTCGCTATTGTTGTAGTGGATGATGCTGGCTAACAACGTATTAGGGCTCTGGTTGCCACCTGCCATATCATGATAGCCAATCCCTTAGTGTGCCGGTGGCTGTCGTCTGGATGAACAGGCCGAAGTAGGTTACTGACTCTCCAGTTGACAGTTTTGACAGTTTACATCCCTTTCATCTGCTTTCGCAGATACCCATAATTCCCAAGCCATTTCTTCTCATTTCGTTGGCTGGCTTGGCAGCCTTCCCAGTCTCGTACATTGTAAGGATATTTCGCGTCCCCATTCTTATTCTTGCTTCAACAGACATCGGCTGACTGGTCTCCTGTAGGCTCCCGCCAGTTTGTGTCAGTAGATCTCCCCAATTCCAGAGAATAATATGACTTTTCATTGAATTTTTTGCACTTCCAATATACTTTTTGTGTGCTGAAGTTTCTGTAGTGGTGTGATGGGTTTGTTAGTGTTGGGTTGCTATCCCTACAACCAACCCTCCCTTTTCACCCGAACTTGACGCCGGCTAAAAACTAGCAAGCTAGTTAATTAGGCGAGTTCAGGCACTGCTAGGGCTACCGTATTTTTTATCCTGCGTTCTTCTAAAGGTCGCAAAGTTACCCATACCTTCCTGTGTCAAAAATAAAATTCCTCAGAGAGGTAAAAGAAGATGGTGATGCATCCGGACATTTGATTGCTTTTGTCATACTTATGATAAAAAAGAAGCATATACGACACATTTCCTGTTGCAAACTCAAATTATCTGTCAAATATAAACCAATAAACATTTACGGATATGTCCAATTGTTTTGGACCTCAGATTTGCAGACATTTATTGAATCGATCCATGTGACTTGTGATGCATAGCACCAAGCGATAAAAGTCATGAATGAAACGCTGCAAGTAATGGATTTCGCACTAGACCGATTTATTTTTAGATCCTACCACGGTAACGAATGATGTTCAGCTTTTTGGCTAACTTACTTAAAAAGAGCGAGACGGATACACCAAAATAATTTAAGAGGGCTTCAAGCATTTTTTCGCTTATTATGAATAGGCAAAAACCAAACTAAAACATTAACCACTTTATTTGCAATTTACATTTAACCTTGAAATAAAAATCCTTGACATTAGGGTCGTCTAGTTTGACCTTGTTAAGAAGATCCTTTAGTTCCTTTCTTACGATAAATACGTCTTAGTATCAATTTTAAAACTCCGCATTCATCTCTTCAAAAAATTTTGTCGGGATGGTTAATTAATTAAGCTGGAACGACCGCAATTAATATCTGTAAGGAGAAGTATCAACTATTTTCACCACCCCTAACCCAATTTATCTACCATTCTGCATAACGTTATGCAGAATTACACGCGAACATTTAGAAGAAGGTATCTGAAGTCTAAATTTCTATTTTGAGGAACACTATGTCAAACACTGGTTTGGATTGTTGTATGGAATATATAATATGGAGATCAGTCGCATACCACTTAAACGTAATGGCAACAAATTAATGAGTGATCTCATGAGATCTTAATGCATTCAGATAAAATCCAAACTTCGCAATGCATATGCGGAATCAGGGAAACCATGAACTGCATATAAATCAACTTCGTTTACGAGCACATATGTACTTGTATTAAACGATATAAGGAACTCTATGTTTGAAAGTGTGTCTTGATGCTGCTGGGAGATTGTCTCAAGATCTTTCCTGAAAGCTAGTGAAACGAAGTTTTTCTTTATTTTTTTGTTGGTTGTTATAAAGTGTGCCGACAGGCAAAATACCCACGGAAACAGCTAGTTCCTTCAATGAACAGGAAACATTCAGACGTAATATAACACCGTATTTCCTCTACTCTCGCCTTACATATCTCATAAATAACATGTTATTTTGTAAACAGTTTGGGGTCCATGTGATTAATCCGAAATTATTTAATCACCTTTAAGAAACTTAAATCAGAATAAAATGAAATAATTTCGAAAGAGTCGAAATTGATTTGTAGCTAGGTATTAAATTTCTCACAATAGATGACGCTGGACTTCTGTTCAGATTGTGTACATTGGATCTATGGGTGGACTTGTCCCTATAATATAAATTACAGTCTATAGAATTACATCCTGTATTCCTAGATACGGAAAATAAAAAGTTTGAGGGGTTAGGAAAATGCTACCATGTATAAAGTAAGTTCGAAGTATGATGGAAGCCCCTAACCATCCGTTGAATAATTTGATCACTCTTGAATGGTAGTCCTTTGTTACAAAGGCTAACTTTTAATAGGGCCGCATTTGTTTATTATGACAAAATAATGTTTTTAGGATACGCATTAAATCTTGGAACCGGAAGTGTGCTCTTAACTACATCAATCAGTGTTTCCCCGAAGTAAATATTTGCAGACCACTGAAAGCAGTTATTTTACTTGCACTGATTAAGAGCGAGACTTTAGAAATGAAGATATTATTCCGACGTTACGTTGGGTCAGTAGAATGCTTAGGAGAAGTAATTGGTTGTTTGCTTCGAATTCTTATGTCACTAGAATATTAAAATGAATACTGTCTGGAGGTGATGATTAATCTTATTTACAACAGGCAGAATACTATTTCTAGTATTGTCCATTTGAAGTTTGGATCGATCCTTGAGTATTTTATCTATTTTCTCCTAGTTATCAGATACAATTTTAATAACAACAGTTTTTCGAATGACAAGATTGCCTTTCTGTTCTAATTCTTTCAGTGATGTTTGATGTTCTGACTCAGATTGTCTTCATTAAATGGAGTTAATGCCGAGATTTTTTTCATCCATATTTTTGTGCTGAGGTTGGGATACACTACATGGGAATAGATTGGTTATATTTGTTTGTACTCTGGAGAAATTCCAATGTATGTTTCATTTTTTGTAATGTCCTCGATAACCCTTGTACCACAGGAACGACAGTCCTTTTACTCATCGCATTACAAAGTATAGTGAATTTAATTTGGCAAAATAAAGATGGACTACGCAAGATTGGAATCAGTTTTGTTGTGTATCAATAAATTCCAGGAATCTGCCACCAATTTCATTATTTTCTTGTTCAGCAAATTAGCGAGGGTTAGATATTGAAGACTCGTTTATTTTGTCCTAGAGCTTTACTCAGCGGTTCATCTGTTTATATCCATTTCATGTAATTTAGTTTCTTCAAACAAATAAAGTGGTTGTTCTAGAAAAGGATGTACAACTGATTAAAACAATTCACATGAGACCATTATGATTAATGATAACATTTTGCTGTATCATTAAGGACATTCATCCTGAGAAGACGTAGTATTCTATTTTAAGTTTTCAAGGAAACAATATAATGTTCTGTCCATTTATTTCAGTGAGTTATAAATCTAATGGCAAACGATCAAGACACTAATGTACTGAAAGTCGCAACATCTGGTGCTGTTGTTGGTATGGGACTAATAAACTTTGGACGTCTGGACAAACGCACATTTGTGAGCGCTCTTCTGGGTGCTGCTTTAGGATTTGGACTTAGTATCACATTTTATGGTCTTTGGAATGCCTTAGTAAAATCTTTTAATCGACACAAACAAAGTGAACAATTTCGTCAGATGAATGAACAATTAACAAGTATTAAAGCAGAATTATTGGTCCTGCGTAATGAAATATATCATTCAAACTTGAAGGCTTCGAATAACAAACATGATGTGAGTTTTCATGATGCCTTTGTCAATTTCTTCGTAATTATATTACGTCCATAAGTTTTAGAAGGTATTGAATGCCTTTAAATTATTTCTTGCTACCAGTATATGTTAAGCAGGATACTTAGAGATAAGCAAGTAAGTTTTGATGCCGATGCTTCACGCATCAAATTATTGAAGGGCTTACAGATAATCGCGTGAGTATTGATGTTAAACGCATTAAATTATTGACTGAACACGAGAAGTTAATATGACTATTCAAAAAGTAATTACTTAATACCCTTCCATATGGATTGACCGTGCATCTTGAAAATAGTGAAACGTTGTCTTCACAATTTAATACTGTTTCATGTCCGCCAGCCATAATTTTATTTTCTCTGTCTCTTCTGCCACTCAAACCTGTACTCAAATAGATTATATTGCCATTAGCTACCAGTAGCTTGGATGTATACGGGACTTCTGCTCCTGCTCGAACATTTGTCTGATTCGCGATCCTGGTTTATCGTGCGGTTCGGTGGTGATCATGAATGTTGTCTTCAAAACGTTAACGTAAGTAAACTGGTTACACCTACTACTGCTGCCAATTATCGAACCACGTTGGACTCAACGTTAATCATAAACTCCCAAGATAATATAGACGAAAACTAGCTGAACCTACAAGACGCTACAAAATTGGAGAGTAGAGCTGTCTATGGCTTAGGAGGACATTTCTGTAAAAGCCATTGGACTTCTGCTACTTTGTTGCAACTTCTCTAAAGCCCTTTGATTTACGCTGGAGGATGGCGACTGTAATAACCTGCTCAGGGGCCTTACACATACGATCAAACAATGCTAACGTAAGAACCGCAAAGCTTGGTGATCAGAACGTGTCTGTGAGACATAGTCGTTGACTGCATCTGGTAATAGTCGGAAGCTATTCTAGCTCTTTTGAGCCGCTAAAAGCAAGCAATGTCACTTCCAACGCCTAAACTTGATTGTGCGACTCATTATTTCTTTGCCTTTATTTGCGCTAAGCAGTTGAGTGCGAAAGTTTCAGCAGGCTGATATAAAATCTTCAGCCGGTTTCAATTTGAGCTCAGCTACGCCGAACATATATCAAGTACCAGGCTATGAACCACGCATATTGTGAGAAATATTGATACTAACCAGTTTCCCAGGCTAAAGTAGGTATATTGGTTACAGGATTTCATCATGAGCTGACATTGGTTAGAGAACCACTGGAAAACCTGCGGGGAGTACTGGACAGCTGTTTCGTCCTAGTTTGGGACTCTTCATCAGTATGCGCCGATCGAGGTTCGAACCCAGAACCCTCTGGTTGCAAGGCGAGCTCGTAGATCGTTCAGCCACTGGGACCCGATCCAATGGCCCATGAATTCTAACTTCTGCCTATTCACGATATAGCTCAACCGCTAGCCAATGTTTTCGGCGAGTAGTTGAAGAGTCCCAAACTAGGTCAAACATCTGTCCAGTACTCCCAGGTTTTCCAATGGTTCTCTAACGGATATCAGCTCATGATGAAATCCTGTAACCAATCAACCAAATCCCTACAAACCAATACTTAAAGTAGGTGTAGTTAGACTCTAACTTCGGCCCCAATTGCCGAAATTCAAGTGCGCAAACTAATGCACGAAGTCTCTGTGGCTGATTTATCTTATTTATTTGTTTTTATTTATTCATTTAAAGGTCCACTAATGCATTATAGTGTTTGCCTTAAATATTTGGAGAGAGGGTCGTTATTCATTGCAGACAAAGCGCTACTCGTTATCCACTAGAAGTATTATCAGTCTTTTAAAACTTTCCATCGTTTATTTCCACCTCACTGTAATATACATTAATTTTGTTTCTCTAGGTTGAAACGCTGCCGTATTTCATGCTTGATGATGATACTGACTCAATGGATGATTATGAGAAGTTTTTAGACGTTGAGAACGATGATGATGAGTATGTTATTGCTTTTTACGTTTTAAAGCTTCACGCATACAACGTTCTTTTAATAGCAGTAGTGCAGCGTAACAATGTTTTGTTACGTGTTTATGTAATTATAATCCACTTAGGTATTTAACCAGCATTGCTCGAGTGATATAATTTTGATGGGATCAGTAGACATTTTATATTGTGTTTAGTTGTATAACATTCAGTAAATAAGGTAAACTAGATGCATTGTAGAGTTCTGTCAGCTTAAGTGGTTGTTACATTTGCTGTAACTCAGTTGGTTGGATCGAATAAAAGGAGGTTAGACAAAAAAAAGGTTTCTAAATTAAAGCACACCAACCTGTTAACCTTGTGGCTGTAAGTTTGTGTCACTTAGGGAAACTCACACTTGCTTTTTGGGATGTCTCTTATCATCTGAAGACTTGTGTATTTCTCCAAATGCTAAAATTTTGGAGTAAAAATATGTTTAAAGACCTAAGAAGATTCACAGACATGTGAGGTCACTTGTCTGTTGTTAATCGAATAAACACGTTTCCGCTTCTTACAGATTATATTTCTTTCAAGTCATCTATCGAAATGTGGAGGTTATTGAAAGATGCCTATATTAAGACGGTACTCCTTCGACCGGTTTCTTTATCTATTTGGAAATAGGGACGTAGCCACTTCTGGCTGAATAATTACAGTTATTCTTGGTTATTGAGTCATCATTAAAAACATGCTTTTCAGGCATATTTGAGCGTTCATTTTATTTCTATTATATAAAACTTGCATTGAATTTCCAGATAGCAAAATTTACTACCGAAGTCTATATCTGTATAAGTTTCATAACTAGGTTTTTATTCTTTATAAAACATGAGATACAGACGTTTTAATATTTGCTGTCTTGTGGACAAAGTATACTGGCACACACCTTTCATTATCTGTGAAAGTAAAGTTTGCGTTGTTAGTTTCAGTTTAAGTGGCAACTAATTTTCAGTGATTTTACTGTTTTCTATATCTGAAGCCTCAACTCAGCATCGTTTAAGTCCGCAAAATCTCCAACTGAAGTTTTATCCTCAGCGAATTCTTTTCACAGTGTGAGCAGTCATTTGTCAAATGATTATTCTTACTGCGACATGAAAGTACGTGTTCCGACGAACATCTTGGAGGAAATAGATGAATTAGCGGATTATGCCCTCGGTGAATATTCGTCAAGCGAATTACAAATCAATCCTAGTGGAGACAGTACTACTCCAGGAATGCAAGCTTATGCAAGGTGCTTAGTCTATAGGTACAAGGTACGGATCTATCAATTTATATGGGGAAGTAATCTTCCCTAATGTTTTCTTTAAGGTTGAAAATGTTAGTAAGGTAACGAAGTTTTGTTTCTGTGGCATTTGTATATATAATATGTATTGGTGGAATCTGGGGCGTGCATTTTGTCCTGTTTGGGAGTTATCACTTGGGTGTGTGGATCCCCATTGAGTAGTTGTCTTTCCATATGGACTCAAACCCAGTGCCGATCACTTCAAACTCCAAAGCATTATCTATTAGGTTACAACAGTCACATTTTGCACAACATCCATCAGTTATTATTTATATAAATGTTTCGATTTCCCTTTAGTTTTCACTGGACAGAGATACTGAATCACTGTTGGCGTGTCGGTCTGTATAACAGATCGTTTAATAATGCCTACTAATCAATCGTGGCATCATCATATCGTCCATACCAGAAGATGGCATGCCAACAGTGGTTCAGGAAAAGCACACAACTTAAGATTCAAAAATTTAAATAACATTCATTTTTCACTCTTATGTTTAATAATATTTATAATACTTCTATTTGAATTCGAAATAATTAGCAATGAAGACATGTTCACTACTTAATTAGTTTCTTATTGCAATGTAGTTTCCGTCACTAACCGAAGTCATAAAGAGGATCATTAAAATCAACGTGCTCAATGTAGATTTAGCACCTGACTTTCAATAATCCTCCAACTGATGTCGTTTCGTGACCAAATTTACATTAAAATTAAGCTAGATAGTGTTTTTGTGTTAAAGAGCTCAAAACCTAAATGTAAATCTATTTAGTTATTGCACTTAAACATACAATACCTCAATATCTTCAGGTTTCACATTTTTGTGCTCAATCATCAATATTTCTCAAGTGCGTGTTAGAAATGGGTAATTTTCATAAACCTCTCTGTCAGCTGAATAATAATCGGTTTAGTGCCTCATAGCATCGATTTGCTTTTATCTCAACAAATTAACTGTATTCTTTTCCTTACAAATTAATCCTTTTTGTAATTTTATGAACACTTTTTGTAGTATCGTTATTGTCCAGAATTCTTATGGCGATTAGCACGTGCCACCTACATAGCCAGTGAAGAAGCATCATCAGATGAAGTTATACAAGAAACTGATATGTTAAGAAATAAGCCAGCCTCTGAAAGCTCGCACAGTTCCCGTAATTTAAATGATATTGCATGTGAAGTACAAAGTCGAAAACAATTCATTGAATCTGGAATAAAATGTGCACGTCGAGCATTGAGTATAATTCAGAAATCAAATTTATCGCTTTTAGATGATGATCCAATTAAATTAGCTCCAATATATAAATGGTTGGCTATTTTAGTCGGTGTGTATTCTTCTTATGTCAGTGCTCAACAGAGAATACAATATGGCTATGAGTTTAAGGTTAGTTTTTCGGATATATATATATATATATATATATATATATATATATATATCTTTGCTCTTACATTCTCGACAAACTACGTGAAATTGTATCGAAAGTGTTTACGGTACAATTAGTACTCCCTGGTTTTCAATGGTCCTCAAACTGATATCAATCCGTGGTCAAACTCGTAAAAAAACAAATCTAATCCTTACAAACCAACTCTTGGAAATTACTTGAAATAAATGCGGCGCACAGTTTAGTCAGCTATGTGTTCTGATGGTTACAATGAATTCGTGACCTGGTTGGCAGTTGGGTCTCATAGATCAACTGATTAGTAATTCAGAGGCCAGTAGTTAAAGTTCTGCTGCAACCTTCATTCGTCATCCATTAAATTCAGTATTAATTATAGGGTTGAAGACTTTAGCTATTATGTGAACTATGGCTCACGTAATAAAACAGACATTACTAAGGAAATCATACATTTTTTACATTTGTGTATACACTCTGACTCCTTATTCGACTAATAGTTGGTCTTATGTTCTTAATTATTTCTCGATTCGTGTCGAAATTCACTACCACATCAATGTGATATGCGTAAATTTAACATTTGAATATCTGTGTTCTGCACATTGGTGTCTAGTTTGTAGACAGATTTCCTCATAGTCTCAATAAGTAGTCAGCCACTGGGGTCCATCTTTTCGAATTCCCGAGAGCTTAGGGAACCATTAGGGGAATTTTTTATTCAGCTTTAAGACTTTTCGTAGTTTATATAACTTGTCGGATGGAACTCATTCCGCAGGCCTATTTTACGTGATATGATTTCGCACGATATTGAATCAAAATGTGAAGGTAAATTTACAAATTCCCTCTCACACAAGTGCACACTATTCTTGTTTGCGATAACCTTCATACCCCAGAGTTTCACCACTTAGACTATGCAATTCTTTCCGAGGTTTTATGTTTTGTTACTTTTTATATATGAATTCTAAGCGGCTATTTATGACTCATAATTCCAAAATGTTTGCCAGGAAAATGGACTAGGAGTCATATGGTATGAATTTGCCACCATCGAAGGTTAGAGTAACGAAGTAGATTTGTCTTTTCCCTTACGATACTAACTTGTTCCACCAAGTAATATGGTTTTTTTCTACTTTGATTTCAGGAGCTAATCGACACTGCTATCAAACTTGATGCCTCTGATGCATTGTCCTATTATCTACAAGGTCGTTGGTGCTACGAGGTATGCGTGTATTATTGCTAACAAATCTTTTTTGAATTCACTGAGCTTTTACATAGTAGTAGACGGCCAAAAACAAATCTTAGAGTGCAGTTGAATCACTGAATACGAACTTCAAATCCCAAATTATCATTGGTAACTGCTCTACCATCTGTATGTATTGAAATATGTTTGCAAATCTTGATGAATTATGCCGACTCTCCTAAATACATTCTGTCTGCCCTCTAATTAATCGATTATCATTTTTTTAATATATATCAGATAACTCACAGCCATATGTTGGCATCAAACACATCTATACCATTCAAAACGCATTAGATATTCGCTCAAAATATCGGTTCAACCCTTACTGTAAAACCACTTGCATTTTGAGATATGTTTTCATGAACCAATATTCTCAAAGGTGACTAGCGGTCATATGGTGTGAATGATTGTTAACACTTTGCACTTTTATTAAACTAGAGTTTTTACAAAGTTATTCATGTATATATAAACTAAATTTTTAAAAATTTAGGTCTATAATCTTTCATGGATTGAACGCCAAATCGCATCTAAGTTATTTTCAAAGCCTCCAACGTCTACTATTGAAGAAGCAAATACAGCATTTGAAAAAGTAAGTGTATGGGCGAATAATCAATTTCAATACCATAGTCAAGCATTGAGTGACTACTTAAACCAACTCCGTTTGTATTTGTATTTTTTCTACAGGCTGAAAAGCTACGACCAAATCACTACGCTGCGCTCTACTTGTACCGAGCTAAATGCTTCATAAGTACTTCAGATTACAAGACTGCATTGCATAACCTGAAAATAGCTCGAAACTTATTTGCTCAGCATAGGCATCCTACGCCACATACAGATACTGGTTCAATACGAGAGCAAGTTGATCAACTGTATAATAAATACTGTAGATACCTGTGATAACCGTGTACATATCATACGAATGCTAAAAATAATGCCTTTTTTAGTCTAGATTTTGCGACCACTAATTCATTTTTTTTCATAAATTGTACAGTATTGATTGAATGAAAATTTTATTTGTGATATATACAAAATACTGTTTGAAAAAAAAATACATAATTAAGATATCCGCTTGTAGATTTTAGCTTTTTTGGCTTTTTTATCAGAAACACCAAATGGTCTGTAACGTTTCTGACCAGGAGTTTCACGAGTTCTTTTAGATTTTACATTGAGATCTACTTTTGGTACTACTGAAAGCCCACATGTTTTTGCTGTTGCAGCTAGATCTAGTTCATCCACATTAAAGCAATTCAAACCGGATGAAGCGTAAGCCCGAACAATGCCTTTGAAAGCTTCTTGAGCAGAGAGAGCAAGAAAATAGTTTTTACTAACTAACTTTTCTAGAGCAGGTTGTACATCTGCCATCTTTGAACTAGCTATTTCATATTCTACAACTTTGACTCGAGCTTTTCGTAAGATTGATAAAAACTCTAACTCATGAGGTCGTAGCACTAACAAAGCATTCCCAGTACTACCTGCTCTGGCTGTTCGACCAACCCGATGTATGTACTCTTTGGCATCATCAGGAGGATCATACTGTAATATCCAATCAACCTATTAAATGAAAATGAATAAAAAAATAGTGAATTTGTAGGCGTACACACTTACATGATGTATGTGTTATCTAATATTCATTCCACCAAATAAATGGAACCATTCTTTTTAGTTTGAATTTTCCTATTATGATAATTAAAGAAGTTTAAAAGCTTACGTCGGAAATCACTTGACATGGCGATATTTTCAAGTGTTGGTTTGCAGGGATTTGATTAGTTACATGTTTGGTAATGAGTTGACATTAGTCGGAAAATCAGGGAGTACTGGTTTCTAATTGAATAGCTCTTCAGCTAATGAACTTTACTGGTGCTGAAGCAAAGATGATACATAAACTTTCAAGTCTCTACTTTTATATGTATCTATAGACCCAACTATTTTTGTGGAGGCAGTTACATTTGTATGGGCAACTTAGCCATTATTTATATAGCACTAACAAGTACGCAGGAACTGGGTTGTCTGTCTGTCTGTCTGGATTCAACATAGAACTTGGCACCGAAGTGCAGCAGTTCGAGTTGCCACGTTCCAAATAGCACACAGAGGTAGACAAGAAGATGAGTGAAGAGAATTAATAGAGTTTGACAAATATAAGAGTGAAACAGAATGGGTAATGGTAGAAAGGAATATGAAAGATTACAGAGATTGAATACATCTGCGCCATTGACAACGATTTTGAGCCATGTCACCTATTGTCTCCAGCCATTGATTCCTAGAGTCCCGAGGGCCCCAACCCGGGAGTCTGCATCTCCCTACCTGACTCAGTTTAACTGTCAAGGATTTCATGGATTGATGCCATGTTTTTGTTTGGCCACCACTGGCTCTTTTCCAACCTGAACCTATATCAGCTAACAATGCCCGTCGGGGGAGGCGGTGGTTAGGCATGCGCACCACGTGACCTAGCCATCTTAGTCTATGTAACTTTATAACCTCGTCGATTGATTTTCCCTCTTTGCCCAACACTCTACGCCTAACGTCAACATTACTTATCTTGTGAAACCACCTAACGTGAGACAGAGATCGCAGACATCTATGATCGAAAGCAGTCAACCTTTTCATGTCTTCAACGCGTATTGGCCATGTTTCAGAGCCATAGAGAAGGACGGAGCGAACTGATGAGCAGTACACACGTCCCTTGGTTGATAACCGGATGTCACGCCTACGCCAGAGATGGTGTAAGTCAGCGAAAGCAGCTCGAGCTTTTCGGATCCGTGCTGAGATTTCATCGCCAATCAGTCCGTTGGTGCTAATACAACTTCCCAAGTAGGTGAAGTGGTCAACATGTTCTATCACTTCACTCCCTATCACTAAGTTAGGGGTTGACGTCGTCCAGTCCTGTAGCAGCATCTTACATTTTGCAGGGGCGAATCGCATGCCAAACATACGAAGATTGCTGCTCAAGGTGTTCAGAAGACTCTGCATTTTGTCAGCATCCTCCCCTAACAGGACTATGTCATCTGCATATTCTAAGTCCATTAGATTATTCCCTGGTAACAAGTCGATTCCTAAGTCACTACGTTCAGTTAAGGATACTTCCATTAGCATATCTATGATGAAGTTAAACAGAAATGGGGAAAGTGGACATCCCTGTCGGACACCACTGGTTGTTACTAATTCAGATGACAATTCCCCATAAGCCCTTACACGACTACGTGAGTTTGAATAGAGTGCCTTAATTAGTGCAATGTACTTTCTTGGCACTCCCTTCACAGTCAGACATTGCCATAGTACTTTTCGGTCCACGGAGTCGAAGGCCGCCTTCAAGTCAAGAAATATGACAATTGTTGGACGCCGAAAAGTGTGTCTATGTTCTAGAATCTGTCGAAGAGTGAAGATATGATCTATGCACCCTCTACCTGGTCTAAAGCCTGCTTGATTTTCCCTTGTCTGTTCCTCCCGAGTTCTGCTTAGTCTATGCATGATTACTGAGCCTAGGATTTTAGAGACTATGTTCGTTAGGCTGATCCCCCTATGATTATCACACGAGGACTTGGAAAAAGCTTGTGATTTGGCAGGATTCAAGTCGGTAGCCTTCCGATTTATAGCTGCAATACAAGACCAGGTCACCGCTTCACTGAAGTCATCAAGGGTTACTACGCCCAACTGTCAACATCAGACCATCGTTCTACGATTATTTTAGCCTTGGCAATAATCATTTTATATTTCATCAAAATTAAAGTAAATTATGTTTACATCGTACTTAAGCATGCGGAATTCTTCACCAATACACAGGCTTCCCTTAATCCAACTTTCGTAGGTATCTTTTTGAAGACGAGCTTTTCTCTGTTGGTTAAAGATTATAGTTTCTCACGTATTTATCAACCAACCACATGGATGCCATATTGTCGAATAAATTTGAGATACCGAAGGTGTATGGTGCTTCGGACACCTTAAAAAGAAATTAATTTAGGTGACAGAACGACTATACAGATTGGAAAAGTTCAGTTTTCTCTCTTAATTTAACGCTTCTATACACTTTGTTGCACAAACGATTATATTTGTCCTCGAACTAAATAATCTGTTTAATTGTTTGCATCGTGTGTAAATGGAAATCCTTTAAATATAAATGTTGAAAGGGATTGGTCGTTGTAGCTTCATTCCTCAACTATTGCTTAAGGATAATGAACTATACAAGTTTCTCGTTTCTCCGATGATTATTACTAAGCCACCAAAATGTCATACTTATTAGCAGTACACATTACCTATACTTCTCATGTGGAGTTATAGTTTGTTTGCTTATGTAGCTGACTTTTCTTCATACTTAGTTTTGAGCAGTTCACTACTAATATTAAATTACAAACTGAAAGCCCACTCTTCCCGGGCTCACACAATATGGTTAGTGAAGCAATTGTATTATAAGTTTCGGTTGAAGTATGTTCAAACCTCGATAAGCTTAGCCTAAACATAGCCTTCTTAAACAGGCAATGTTAGGTAACAGAGAATTAGCTTGGGAAGGGTTAAGGGTGACCAGATCAAAGCCTATCATCAGCCCATGAAATATCTGACAGTTAGTTTGAGCCAAGTAGGAAGGTGCAGACTGCCTGCTAAAAACCAATGGTGAAATGGCTCAACTGCGCAGATACATTTACTCTTTCTGGTCTCCTATATCCATCATACCGTAATGTTTTTCCATGTTACTATTCTTTCTCCCTCACATTTCTGCTTATTGTAATCATTTTGAGTCTTTTGCCTACCTTTGTGTGCTACATGGGAATGAGGTGACTTGAAATGCTGCACTTCTGTGCTAAGTCATGTGTTGAAATTCAGTCGCCCGAGTTTAGCACATTTTGAACACTGGAAAATCAGATACCAAAATGAACGAACCATAACTCCATGAACACTGACAGAAAGCCAGTAAGATCTTACCACACAGGTTATAAAACACCCCTAAAAACACATAACAGGTACAATTACCTAACGCTATATATATATATATATATATATATATATATATATATATATATATATATAATTTCAAGGATGAAGTTCTTGTACGTGTTTTACTGTCTGTCTCTGCGTACTTATTTAAAGACGAATAAATTACACAATTGCATTAATTAGTTGTCCTTATACAAAAAAAACAAGAGGTGAAAGTAAACTTACCTTTGGTATATCTAAACCTCGTGCTCCTACATCAGTACACAGTAGTACAGCGGACTCAGCCTTTATAAACTGTAGGAAAGTACTTGTTCTTTTGGCTTGTTTTTGCCGCCCATGTATAGCTAGAACTGGAGTATCTATGAAGTTTAACAATTCGTAGTAAAATTTCACCTCCATACAAGATGCCATGAAAACCATAATCTGAAAATGTATCAGAGTAAACATGATCAGCTGGTGTTAGTATTGTTTTGTAAAATGACTGGGTAATGAACAATCATTTGTAGGTAAATTAAGATTAGTGAAGCCTTTCAATACCTGGAAGACGGCATATATATAATGAATAATTTCAGGCCATGTAACCACCACTTCTCAAACCTTACCATCCCGAAGAACCTGGGAATACAATCGATACATATCAACAGGTTGTCTCACTGAAAATAAGGGGATCAAGTAGAATGATTCCCCAATAGACAAATGCAAGTGTGATGGAAAGACCTGGTTGAAAATAAGTGAAACTATTCAGGACCTGATGAAAAGTAAATATAACCGTCTTGTAATGTGTACACTCCTACTTTGATGCATTGCCATCTTCTAGGTTTATATGCTTCTATAGTTAACGTAAACTTCCTCCTAAATACAGAAAACTTGTCTGTTACTGTGAGTAGCAAATTAAGTTGCACTTCATATAGAGGCCAATAAATTTATCCAAAAAGATAATGAACACACTAGCGTCCATAATACTGTCACGCATG